ATAAATTTATTACTGAAAGAAACTTTGTGGCACAGACGTGAAAATTCACAGGCCCGAGTGGATTGTATTATGTGATTATAACAAAACTCCCTAAGGTTATCACATATATTCACAGGCTAAAGTCTTTGTCGAATGTGTATTCTAAAGAATAAATGGTTCCAATGAATGTTACCTTTTGACTAACGCGCGTAATCTAAACAAAAACTGAAAAACTTTAGTACGACCACTACGCGTTTTACAATGATTATTTCTCAATAAAAATATTTAAAAATATATACTTTGACACTTGCACAGCCTACTGGATATTCGTATTAAATATGCATACATAAAAAATGTTAGATTAAATATTGGTTACAATTTAAATTATTAAAATTTAAATTATATAACTTTTATTTTAAATTCACTGTGAAATTTGGGCCTCTTTAAGACACATCAATTTCTCTATGTTTGGACTTATTTCACTTTAGAAGCACTTTTAATTTTGTTCTGTATTTATTTTTTAAATATAACATGAAAGAAAATCCTTTAAAACAAATAGGTTGTAAAAAAAGGCAATAAAATTTAATTGCTTTACTTGAAATGCCTTTAAAGTCTCTTTTTTTTTTTTTTTTTTTTTTTCCCGGTTCAGTCAAAAGTTAACAAGCGTGTTATTTTTGAAATCCTAAGTTACAATTCGATCACCGGAAATTCCTATCAATTGTTCTTTTTCTTCACGAAAGTTTTGTTTTTAATAATTAAAAATACTTTGTTTCTTTGCGTACTACCATTCATTGCGTACCAATCATTGGTACCAGCGATTCTCAACCAGTAATACGTGTACCCCCGGTTGAGAATCGATGCTCTAGATCTACCTGCCTACGGGAAGGGATGCCTTCATGCAGCGCTTTTTAAGAGAAATTGGCTCGTATTCAAGTTACACATCTATCTGATGTGTAACTTGAATTATTTGAATTAATTGCAAAAGGCTATCGGGGTATAGTAAAAGTGAGCCCTTCACGGTGGCCTTTCTAAGGGAAACTGAGCCGTGGAATGGGGAAAATCACGGAAAATAACCGACACTTTCGCCAAGGATAGAACTCCCTGGATCCAGGGGTTTTAATCACTCGGCCGCTTGTGGAGCCGTTGATTGGGGTTGCGCTCCTTACGCTGCTGGACGTGGCGAAAGCCTTCGACCACATCTGGCATGAGGAGCTCATTTTCAAGCACATCAACTTGGGTATACACAGGGAATGAATCCTTATCTACTCCTTCTTTCAGTATTGTACTTTTTTTTGTCGCTCAATGCAATAAAAACTTAACATCAAGACTTATTCGTTCAAGTGTACCACAAGGAAGCATTCTAGGCCCAGTGGCTCTATTTGTTCTACATCTTAGACTTTCCACATCTTAGACTGGAAAACTATTCACTACTTGCATGCTATGCCAACGATACGGCAATAGCCATTAAATCAATCAAAGCTAACCAGGCTATTTCCAAAATGCAAAACTATGTTTACACTGTGGAAGATTGGTGCGCAAACTGGCGAGTTGAAATTAATACTAGCAAATCAAAGCTTTTAATCCTTAGAAAAACCAGGAAACAACATACTAACTTTAAAAAATCACACTTATCCCAAGAACCCGTACCTGTTATTAATCCAGCCAAATATTTTTAAGCATTATTTTGAATCGAAATCTTACATGGTCCAACCATATTAAAAATGTCGAAAACAAAGCTATTGGAATCATGAACAGTTTTTTCCCGGTAATCGGAAAATTCTCAAACCTAAGCTTAAACACAAAGAGACAAATTGTGCTATGCTGCTCCAGCATGGAACACAGCTATGAACTTCACCAAATTCAAGTGGTACGAAACAAATTTTTACAGATGCCAATATTCTTGTCCGAAATGAACTACTTCACAGAGATTTAAAATTTGAAACTATTGGTGATTTCAATAGCTGAAAAAATGAGAAATTCTTTAATAAGGCCATCTCCTGCGACTTTGTGAACTACTCCCAAGTATTTAATCATGAGATTCTTCAAAAAGACAAAACAATCAGGTCTCTTACTGCACGTAGTATCACCTAATACCTGCTTACTTAGGGTAAATATTAGGTAGCCCCCTCACCTCACCACACCACACCACACCACACCACACCACACCACACCACACCACAACACAAACATAACATAACATACTATCATCGATGCTGATCAAGATTTCGTTACTTAGCTCCTCAATGGTGATTGCCTTTGCTGTAACATTTGTCAGACTCACTTTGTATTAATATTTTATCCGTACTTGTAAGATTTTCATACGTTTTCGTGGATTGCATTGGATCTTGTATTCGTGTAACTTTTGTATCGTTTGTTGTATCTTTGCCCATTGTATCCTGATTGTACCTTGTATCCTGATTTTTGCATATGAATATCTACATCTGGTATTTTATTCCGTCCCTCGTCTAATTCTAAGGAAATTTGTCAGATTCTCTCTTTTGGCTTTGTGACCTTCTGTCGCACTCTTTTTCTTTCCCTTCCCTCCGTTTCTCTCATGGAGGTAGGAAGTAAGATGGAGTCGCCCTAATCAAGTTTCTCCCGTACCCTGCTCTGAAGCATCGGCGATCCCTACGTGGTGAGCAAAACATTGGGTCATTTACCATTGAGTTCTATGGGATTTGACGCGTTCGGATGTAAATATTTTGTAATTAAGTCGTAAATATACATATAAATGTATATATTTTCTTTTTCTACAACACTTCAGATTCCTAAGTATGTGAAAACAACATATTTTTAAACAACATTTCATTCTGAACGGAATTAAATGCTATACTTTTCACAGGACAGTTTTCTCAGAATGGTTTAATTTGAATGAAATATTTTCAAAAGTTTTCGTTAATTACATTAGAAAAAAAAATTAAGGTAATTCGATTTTATTCGGTTAAGGTACAAAAATTAAGATCAAAGTTTATTGTATTATTAATATTAAAATTATGCATTATTTCTTTTCTATTTATACAGCTTCTTCCTAAAATACTTTCTTAATATGACGTGATTTTTTGGCTTCTGAGGCATCTTTTAAATCGAAAAATGTAAGTCAATTTATAATTAATGCTCTATTCGGTTCATTTTAAATTAGAGAATTATTAGGAATTAGAGAAATACTTTAAATAAGTATTTCGCTAATTCCTAATAATTAAATAGGTATTAAATAGTACTTGACTTTATCTGAACATAACTGAGTTATTATAAAATGCAAGGGGAATAATTCTGTTAATTATACTTATCAGATTTTTTTTTTTACCCTTCATTTCAACAATACATATTCCAAAACTCTTTATTACGTTCTTAAGTGCCCATCTCATAGCATTTACTTTACAATACCTTTTAACAGATTGCTTTCCAATACGAACAATTCTTGCTTAAATAGTTTTATAACGTATTTGTCAACAGGATTTAAATTTATGTTTACAATTCAATATTAAAATATTATTTATATATTTAGATAACATTTATAATCATTATAAATTAGATACATTTAATCATTAGATTTCTTCACAGTACTTTCACAGTTGTTTATAAGTGAATAAATTCTTCATTTCAAATACGTTTATAAATAATTTAATGAATATTTAAGTATTTTGTCAAAGGCAGATACATGCTTTTTGCAAGCACATGCATAAATACCCATACATATTTCCTATTTTTCATTTCCCGCATGTGCAAATCTTTAATTTTTGTGCATTCACTATATTTTTCGTGTAATTTACACTAATTTAGCATACACCGGAAAGTTTTACATAAAAAATATATATGAATATAATTTGAATGAAAATTATAAGTATTATTTTTAATACCCACTCAAAGGTCAGTTTTTCTTCAATATTCCTCCACGATGGCATCTCTCTCTTTAGGCAGATAGCCCTTGCATGCGTTACTCTATTTAATAAAAACTTAATTTGACCTGTGTGCCTAATTACAAATATTTTAACATACATAATTTTATATTTGTAAAACGTGTAAGCCCAAAGTGATTATTTTTCAGATATATAAAATTAAAAAGATGGGTTTAAAATGAGCAGCAGTAAAGCCTCTCCTCTAAAAAATTTTAAAAGGTACATGTTACAATAATATATGGATGTGAAAAAAATTTGTTTTATTTAAAACATTTTGACGTTTGGAAAATAAAATAAAAGTAGCGAATACTCTATCAAGGGTATCGAAAGACGTATACAATTTTAAATGTACCGTAAGGTATTTTTCATTCTTTAAGCACAACATTTTTCTTAAAATCTATATTTTTGTAATGCAACAGCTTATAATTTTATAAAACAAATTCATAATCAAAATCGCGCTGTTGTTAGTTATCGAAAAATAACCAAGATGTGATTTTTGCTTAAATGTCACTAAACTATACATATTGCTATTATCAATCACACTATGAATGTTTCTTTCATGCGAAAGTGTCCCTTTTTCGATTTGTATGGAACTGTCGTGTGTCGAAATACTATAACAGAATCTTGTCAAGCGAGCTTCTGAATGTAAACAAAGAACACCCCATCTGGTGACCCAAGCTTCAAAGCAGTGCTTCACTTTTAGCGCGGGTTGGCCGCGCTTATTTATTATTATTATTGCTTTTTGCAATAATTCGGTAATAATAACGAGTTGTAGTCGTAGAGAAACTCCGATTCTTAGTTCTGCGGTTAAAATCTAACTATGTTTCGTTAACATAATTTAGTATCTCAGTAAATTCTATTAAATGAACTACAGAGTCGAAGCATGACTTTTAGGAACACAATTCAGATTAAAATATAAAATATAATTTGTTTAGTAACAGCGAAATGTTATCTCATGACTAGATTGAGACGCTATTATAATAAATTATTCTTAAATTTATGACTTACACAAATCATGCTCCGTAAAACTTTTGATTTCAGTTTTTGTTTTACGATTCGCAGATTTCAAAAGGAAACATATCGAATAAACATGCACAATAAAATTTTCAATTTTTGCTTTTTTACCTGATTTTTATTTTCAGACCCATAACAGCAAACCAAACTGCTTACCTGAAAATAAAAACAAACATTTAGAATAAACACAAAATAATTAAACCAATTAATCAACAAAATATCGCAACAAAACTCAAGATACATTACAGATAAACAACTCAGTAAGTAAATTAAAACTTATAATAGCAAATAGACATGATTACATAGCAGGGAATAAGAGTACATCGATTTATACAGTTGTAGAAAAACACAAAAAGGTACAGCCATAAACCTAATGTTCACAGATTCAAAGTAGAAAACTGCGAACAGCTGGACTAATGCAGCTATAATTAATATTCTCCCAAATGTCCGAAAATTTTGGATTAAATGGATTGTCTTTTTTTACCTGTCTACTACTAAAATTTCCTAATTTACTGAAACTGTGCCTATTTACTTGAACCTAGTCACTGAAATACAGATGAGATAAGTTTTTTTTTAGTACATCAAGTTTCATATAATCACAGATTAAACAGATTAAAAATATTATATTTTATACTAAAATATCGGAGTCTATTAGTCTGCTGCTGCTCTCACTCCAGCTAACTCACTTCTTCTTGTCTTTTTAGCTTTATTATTAAGTCTTTTCATTTAAGCATATACAATCCAACAGCAAGATTAGTAAAAATTTTAAAGCAAAATGTGTTTAAAATTTCCGATGCAGTGTTAAATGCTGGCCTACCTATTTTTGCACAAAAAGGTTTTAACCCTGAAGGGCTATTAAAATAATGAAGAATCTATATGAATGTAGGTATGTTTTTCGCACTGTGAAAAAATAACGATACCTAGAGGCATCAAATTTTTAATTATGGACTCCAAAACCCGAAAATGGGAACCTAGAATCCGAAATTTTGAATTTCTCTTATTACGTTTTTCATGTATTGTAAATCTTAAGCAAATTTTTGATTAACAAGCTCAATGATTTCAAAGCGAGTCGTTGCAACACTGTATGGAATAAAACATTTTCATCTCCAGCGCGCGAAGCTGTCTGAAAGAAATTCTAAAGATTTTTTAGCCCAAACCCTCTCGTATATGACTGTAAACGAATCGTGTATGTGTCTGTAAATGGAGGGGGGAACCGCCCGTTTGGGCGTAATATAATATTTCAAAACATTCTTTTTTTTAATTAAACATTTTGTGTGTTAACTTTATTTATAAAATATAATGTTCATTGAACTTGAACTTCATAAAATTCGATTCAACAGCAGTATCACAAAATATTTAAAAACAGCATATCTTTAGAATTTTCGATATATAGTCTTGCGCGCTAGAGATAAAAATGTTTTACTCCGTACAGTGTTGCCATTGCTCGCTTTCAAATAACTGAGTTTGTTAAATAAAATTTCCTTTAAAATTTTATAAAATATGAAATATAAAATTAAAAATTCTAAGTTCGGGCTTCCAGGTGGACATGTTCGGGTGAAGGACTACGTCATTCAAAATTTAATGGCTCTAGAAGGCGTCGCTTTACCACAGTGCAAGGAACATACATACATGCAGATGTTTCATTATTTAATTTTAAAAAAATAATACATGGCGAAAATATTTTGTGGCAACATGAAAAATGCTACAGCCGTTTACTGTGGACAACGTAAAATCCCATTTCTGGACTAATAGCTCATTCGGGCTAATGCATTTTTGGGCTAAAAATGAAAAATACAATTTAAAAAATGTATGCCTGCCCTGTACTGAAGAGTAGAGGTAGAAAAGGTGTGTTTAACCACCAGTTGCGAGGTTTATGTGTCAAAAGTCGCGTTGGCGTAGTGGTTTGCTATTATTTCTGCAATTAGAGAGATTGAAGTTCGATCCGAGGTTTTATCTTCCCCGTGTTCCCCTCTGGGACCTGCCGTTCATTATAATTCGTGGGACGCATCTATGTAGCTCTACATGAAATAGGTTATTAAAGGCAATAATTTTGGTTGATGAAAAATAGCATATGATTGGCTATATGTGGGTACGGAATGTTGACATAGTTATAATGGCTGAAGACACTATAAGTTGACTGGAATGTGGAGATGTAATACCGACGAAAATCCACTACGTACCTGATGGGGGTTATCACATTTAACGACGCGTAAGACTAAAAGAAACTTTTCCCAGAAACGAGTCTCGTCTTCAACCATTGGAGCTGAAACAAGTTTCCTTTCAACCGGTGACTCGGGCAGCTATGCAGTGGTGGTTGTGGGCGCAGCCCCGACCCCCCCCCTAGCCGATTCATATCAGCCATAAGGCCACAAAGGGGAAGGCCCGTCTAACACAAAACGAGGCAGCCACCGAGCCAACCGTGCCCCAAAAAGAAACACGATTCTCAATTTTAAAATTCTTAATCTTAAAAAAAAAAAAAAAAAAAAAACAGACAATTCTTAATTTTTAAAGCCATAAAATATCAAATGCTCCCGCGAAACCAGGCCCGGGCCCGAGAGCAACAAAAAGATAAAAAATGAAAAAAATAACAAACTAAAAAAAAAGGTTCAAATGGTTGCAAGCCTTTTAAAATCTCTTTTAAAAACTCATAACATCCAATTTTAATTCTCTCCTAACTACCAATGCCCACAATACTTTTATTTTTATTTATCACAGTCATAACATCTTGTGAAAATTTCAATAATTTATCATATTTCATTTGTGTTATATCTAATCCTGTTATTCCATATTTTGCCCTCACCCCTCGGGTAAGAGTACATATCTCAACGAAATGTTCCGCATCTCCAATAAGATCACATTTGAGGCATCTATCGTTGCCCTGGAGGTGGAATCTCTTTAAATATTGTGGAAATCTTCCATGACCTGTGATAAGTTGATTCACATCTATATCTGTATAGGTTTTCATTTTCTATTTATTTTAATATTTTTTAAATAAGACTTTCGTCTTGTTGAATTTTCCCACATTTGATTCCATTGTTTATAATAGTAGTCTTTCATTTTTATAATCATTTTCCTTCTTGCCGGATTTATAATATTGTAATCTAAACCATCTCCCAGGGTAGCCTCTTTAGCCAGTGTATCCGCCCGCCAGCTATGCAGTATTCTTTTTTAAACTGAACTGAACGTGTTTCGTTTAAAGTTTTGACCCTCGTAGAATTTTTCCAAAGAATTGGTTTTCACATAAAACCAGTATCGCAATTACAAACTAGCTTAGCAGCGCATTTAAAGACGCATTTCGGAGAATTTTTGCTTTCGGGTCCCGTGTAGCTACCCGAGACACCAACTTGCAAAATATATTTCAGCTAGGATTTTTCCAACGATAGGAAGAGGAGAAACTCCTAGCGTTACACGTCGTTTGATCGGAAACGTTTCTCCTAGCGTTACTAGGTATACAACACTGCAGCCTGCGTATTGGTTCGTAATGGATTGAATGCATGTACAGCCATTGACAGCTTGATAAAAAATTTATTTGCCAAAAAGAAACACTCTACAGTTCTGGAACTTTCCACAAAGTACGCGTACAGCTCTTCCCAGCATAACACAGCACAATCAGTAATTACCAATTCAAAATACTAATAACGTTAAACACAACGCAATGCAAAGAGCATCCAAAAAGCGAAGCTCGTACGATCTCTCAATACTGCTGTGAACTTAGTCAGTGTACTGTGAACAATAAGTCAGCTGTGAACTAAAAAACTCAGAACTGCTGCTCTCTTTGGTCTTATATAGTTTCTAACCCGGCCGCCTAGAAATCTCTAGTACCCTTCAATTCTCGAAATTACTGCACGGCATATACGGCTAATCTTAAATGCAAGGGGTTACAGTTACATATAGAGATCAAATACAGTACCAATTACAGTTATACAAAAACCGGACGAAATATCGGCAAATTTGGCGACTTTTGGCTATTTCTCGCCACATCTGGCTACAAGAATAAGTAGCCAAACCATCAGTAGTTTGGCGATATCTCGCCAATTTAGCAAGATATCCTCAATGCTAAATAGATTTGCGCCTGTAATTTTATTTTTCTTGCAACGCTTGGCTCGCTTGAAACTTTTCATGTTACAATAAGATACTACAATTTCACATATATTTTCATAAGTTATTTTACATATATACAAAATGGTTGCAATATGCTATTTCTCACTGATACGTCATCTCTTCAGGATTAGCATAAAAATCAGAATCCCTCGCGAAAGAAATAAAATACAATAAGAAAGAAACTGCATCATCAAAAAGATTTCAAGGACTGACAGTATCTTACTAACAGAATTTATTAACTAAATTCTTCTTTAGTTATGCAAAGCTATACGAATCCCGCTTTATATACAATATTTTGCATTATTCATGTTTACATGAAACCTCGGGGAATATTCAGACTTCAAAAGCTTTATTTGTACATAGTATGAAAGGGCTCTATTATATATATCAAGTAACTCAATATTTAAAACCGTGAAGGTAATGAATATACAAAATACAAACAAGAAAATACAAAACTTAAAAGCTATAAATATTATTATATCAGAAAAATTTCCTTTCAAATGCTTCATCTAACAAATTGCATGGAATATGTTAAAAAAATATATTTTTTGCAGGAAACTATCCAGCTTCAGGATGAAGAGAAGAAAAATAATAAATATAATAATAATATACGTGTATATCATCATAAAATTATACGGTTTAACGTAATATATTTGCATCTTTCTTGTCGGCGATTCAATGTTTATTTCCATCGTTTGCGCGGTAGTTCATTACATAAGGAATCTTTTGAATATACACTGGTGTGCAAAAATTAAGGACGAGACGGTTTTTCTCAATATAACTTTGTACAAAAGCTTTCCAAATCAACACATTTAATACCGTAAGATCCCCAATACGTAAGGACATGAGTAATGTAAACAACACTTACTAAAAGAGAAATCAGAGGGATAAAAAGAAGCTTTATTGAAAAAGTAGCATGGAGCGCAATGCGACTGAAGGCCGAAACATCCCTGTGATGGGTGTCCAGCAAGAAACATCCGGTCTTTAATAGGGGATATGATCTCCTCTGACTGCTAGGCAGGTTTCACAGCGTTTGCCCATGCTGAGAATGAGGG